GACGTTGGACCAGCGCTCATCCCATACAGGCAGCCCAGCCTTTGCTGTCTTGACCCGGAGGACCCTTCCAAACACCAGCAGGGGTTCCATGCACACCCTCCCTGCTGCTCTCCTCCTGAACCTCTACCCTGTGCGTGCTGACTCCCCCCATCCTGACCTCCTCAGGGGCATCCTTGCCTTCCCAGGCCTGACACCCCAGCCCCACCCCATCCCAAGCTTTGAGACAGCGGCACCTGTTCCCAGGAGGAAGGTACTCTAGCTTCAGAGGCAGCAGCGGGAACAGGGGACAGGTTCTTGGGTGTCCCAGGTCCCATCCGGGAGACTAAGGACTCCTGGTTTGATTGTGGGGTGCAGCTGGACCTGGGAGCCAGCGGTGATGGCCCAGGAGACCTCGCTCTTTCCTGAGGCAGCGTCCACGGTGACTCAATGCGGAGGAAGCATCCACATCAGTGCGCATTTGGAGAAACACTTTGCACCCCGAATTTGACATAGGACAGGGGCCCCCTCCTGCGTTCAAAGCCCTGTTCTGGTGCTGGGAGCAGAGAGGACCCTGGGAGGTGCTGGCTGAGCAGCAGAAAGGGGAGCTGGCTCTTCTGTCCTCAGCCCTGTGGCCACACGGGGGCGCCACCGCGCTGCTCCTGAGGCTGCCTGAGCCCTGGCAGGGGCTGTGCTGTGAGTGGGTCAGAGGGGGCTGACTTGAAGGCGGGGCATTTGCGGGGGTGGGGGGGGGAGTGAAGAAGCTTTGGCGAGTCTTGGGCTCCACCGTGTCAAGGTCAGGACAGGACAGGGATTGACCAAGAAAAGCGCTCAGGAGCCAGGAGCCATCTGAGGTTTCCATCTCCCCACTGCCACCCCTCTCTCCAATCCCTTGAGGACAACTCCGTGGAAACCTAAAAAGTAGACACATTTTCTTCTATTCCCTATTTCTGTTTTGTGATTTTTTTTCAAAGTCAGTTTTCAAAATAAAGTCATCTCTTATTTGGGAACAACATCTCAATGTCTACACTATCTTCCACAGTGAGGGGATGCACATTGGGACTATTGGGGCTAAAGCCCAGCTCCCCAGGGCCTTCTGTCCCCCAGAAGGACAGCAGAGGGGCCAGAGGGAAGCAGCCCGGATTCTGGGTACAGGAGGGTGCTAGTAGCCAGGGGAAGGAAGGCCTACTCTTGCACTAACTTTCCTGCATTGGGCCTCTAGTTTTATCATACATTGTAATACAATATCAGTAAACCGTTCATCACAGATGTGCCTGTTTCCCAGGCATGGGTCCTCCCTGAGGTACATCAACTCCAACAGTCCTTTGAGCCCATTGGGATCCGAGCTGATTATCCAGCCACCTATTCACTGTCCCTCGCCCTCCATGTCCCCTCCTCCCTCCTCCTCTCTTAAATTCCATGATTCACCCTTTCAATCCTCCCTTGGCTCTCCCATGCTGTGCCACTCTTGCTTGTGAATTTAAGCACCTGGCCCCATGCAGCTACAGGGAGGCTGGGGGAACAATACAGCCACGCCAACACTGTCACGTTAAGGTCATGACTCAGACCACAAAGGCATCCACGCCGCTGCCCACAATCGTCT